TGTCTTATTTACCCTGTTTGGGATATATCCCTGGACCTTTGGAATCATGCTTTTCATCAGTAAGGAAACTGCACTTATTGCAGGTATAGTTCCTCCTTCTTTTCCTTCCTGCCTTCTGAGGTTCCAATCAGAACAGAAGTTCGACTCTTTCATTCCATATTCTGTGTCTCCTAATCTCTCTTTCACCTCCTTATCTCTCCTTGTTCCATTCTGGATAAATTATTTGGCTGTAGCTTCAAGTTTTCTAATGCTCTCTTCAGCTGTGCTTAATTTGCTAAGAAGCATTTGTGTTTAATTTCGACAATGAGATTTTTCATTTCTACAAGTTTCACATCTGTTCATTTCTGCCTGCTCCCCTGACCTTCGCACAGGTGAAGCTGCATGTTTCTAGAACAGGGGTTGACAGATTTTTCTGTAAAGGGTCAAACAGTAAATATTTTAGGTTTTGTGGGCCACATACAGTCCCTGTCACATACTCTTCATCTTTTTAATAACCCTTTACAATGCTGTGATGGTTAAGACTGTGTGTCAACTTGGCTGGGCCATGATTCTCAGTATTTATATGTGATCACCCCCATGATGGGATCTGCTGTGAGTAGCCAATCAGTTGAAAAGGAGTTTCCTTGGGCATGTGGCCTGCATCTGAATATAAGTGGACATTCTGGCTTTTGCCCGCTCTGGATCCTGCAGCTGCCTCCTGTTCGTATGACCTCAGGTTCTTGGGACTTGACTAGCAGCGTACCTGCCAATCTCGGGATTGATTCGTCTATTTTCACAGCGTGTGAGCCAAGAGCTCTGTTCTCTGACCTGCCAATCTTGGGTTTGCCAGCCCCTGCAGCTAGGTATATCAGGAGAAGCCTTGCGGTCTTGCCTGCTAGTCTTGGGATTTGTCAATCTTCACAGCCTGTGAACAAGAGCCCTGCTCTACGACCTGCCAATCTTGGGTTCACCAGTCCCTGCCGCTACGTGAATCAGGAGAAGCCTCTATCCTGATCCACAGCCTTGGGACCTTCCAGCCTCTACAACTGTATGAGCCATTTCCTTGATATAAATCTGTCTATATATATGTTATATGCTTCACTGGTTTTGCCTCTCTAGAGAACCCAGCCTAAGACAGATGTACAAATAATTCTTAGCTCTTGGCCTATACAAAAACAGGCCATGGGTCACATACGCTGGCTGATTCCTGCTCTAGAAGAAATCTCATACTTGACTCAATGCAATGGTCAGTACAGCACAGACAAGCTAGTACAGCATTGGTGAGAAAGGATAGGATAAAAGTCCCTCTGGTAGTGAGCCTGGCCCCCCTAGTCTACACGACAGGCAGGTGATCCCAAAGACCACATATGCCTCAGTGAAGGAAAACATAAGTGCCACAACAGCATGGAACTCATGCCTGCAGTAAAGAGACCCAGATTTTGAGCATCTGGCTGGGATCAGCACATCTCAGAAGACAGAGTGCACAGGCCCAAGAACCAGTCCAAAGCAGCCATCCTCCAGCAGGGATTAACTAGGATCCCAGGACACAGCACTAGAACCTGAGCACAAAGACCTGAGACCTCCCTCTTTCCCCTGCAATTAGGTCATGAAAGTGCTCTCATAAACCTACTGCCATTTTAGAAGAGCAGAGGAAGAGAAAGGAAATCTCAACAACCCTTATAAGAAGATTGTTTAAACCAGAAATGATAATAATTTGCAAGTTTACACATGGAACATATTTTCCAGGTTCCAACAACATTTAATTAGGGTAACAGTAAACTGTTCATCTACTGCCATTGACAGTTGTAAAGGGGAATACATAACTATTTTAACATGTGAAACTTAAGTGTATTTAGAGATGATCTGTCTACATGTGTAAGTGAATGGCTGAAGTGATGGAAATGCATCAGGGCAGGTAGGTGTATAAAAAAATGGGTTCTACAGGAAGAGATGGAAAATGAGAACTGACTCAACCGAGAATAAGTAACATGAAATGTTATTGTGCTATTTATTGACAAAGAGACAGAAAAGCAAGATGAAAGACCACTAACATTTGTTGAGTTCCTACTACATGCCAGGCATCATACCTATGTCACACATGGCCTATAGCAGATGTTCAATAAATGTTTGTTGAAGGAATGAATGAATCCTCTGTCTTCATTCTGCAGAAGAGGAAATGAATGCTCAGGGAAGATAAGTGATTAACTTAAGGTCACACTGTAAGTAGCAGAGCTGGGGTTTTGAACCCAGGTCTGCTGATTCTGTTTTGCAATTACTATTGCTTAACAAAATCATTCCTAAATTTAGTGGCTTAAAACTACAATATATTATTTCTCAAAATTCTGTGGGCTGATAGGGCTCAACTAAGCAGTCTTTCTGCTGATCTTGTTTGGGGTTTCTCATGTGGATGCAGTCAGAGAGATGGCTGGAGGGGCTGGAACATCCAAAATGGCTTCACTCGCAGGTCTTGTACTTTAACATAGATTAGATGGCTGTAAAGCTGGGCTCAGTTTGGCTACTGGAAAAAGTTGGACCTCTGTCCCTCTCCACACCGTCTCTCCAGCAGAGCAGCTAAACTTCTTATAAAGCAACTCAAGGCTCTCAATAATGCAGAAGGCTGAGGTCTAGAATTGGCACAGAATCACGTTCTGGTTAAAGCTTGACTTAGAAAGCTTAGAGTAAGTCACAGAACCAGCCCAGTTAAATGTGGGGAGGAGCAGAGGACTAACAAGGACATGATACCAGGAGGCATAGATCGTTAGTGGCCTTCTTTGGAAACTACCTACCACGGTGATCCCATGATACCAAGGCCCTTAATATTCCCATTACTTCATGCCACTATAAGCACTCACAAACAGAACATGATTGGATATTCTGCCTACAAAGATCATTCTGGCAGTGGAGAGGAAGGTGACTTGGAGAAGAGGAAACCGAAGGTTTTGCAAAAGTCCACTTTGGTGGTGAAGACGTGAACCCAGGCAAGGAGCAATGGACTCAGTGAACAGTCTAAGGGGAAGGAACAGGTGGTCTGTAACATCACATGCTGCAGAGATATTTGTGGCATTTATGCCATATCCACATCTAATTGTACGCATTTGTATACTAGTTGAAGTGCACTTTTCTACAGTCATCAGCAAACTATTTCAGCACAGCTACTTTGTAACAAGAGGACTTGAATCTATCCCAAATATGCCTGTAGTTATCTTTTAGCCCAGTAGGTGACTCTCCAGTTTTTTCTATCCTGACCTAATACACAGAAATGTGTGTATATATATGCATATATATTCATGCATGCACATGTACCAGAATATACCAGTTGCCATAGCAACTCATGGCAACCCCATGTTTCAGAGTAGAACTTACTGTGCTCTTTCAGATCACCAGGCCTTTCTTCTGAGGCACTCTGGGTGTATTCGAAAACTTTGCATCACCCAAAGACTCCTGTGTATGTATGTATGTAGGCGTATATACATACACACATATATATATTTGTATGACAGCTGAGACAAAAGTTTTACAAATCACTATCCCTTACTCTATTCTCTTTAATCTTTTTTTTTTTTTTTTAACTGCTGGCCATGACTGAGTAAATTAATTCTGCAATCCAGTAATAGATTCTGACTTCTGGTTTGACAATCTCACCCCTACTAAAGAAACACCTGTAACGCCAGGAAGATTTAGGATCAAGTATAGAACTAATAAAGTAAATTAAAGTCAGTGCGTTAATATTTTCTATTACAATTTGGAGTCATCTACTTAATTTGGTATTTTAAGTATCTATAATGTTTAAGTGAACATAACATACTGAATTATGCAATAGATTAACTTAGCAATTCCATTTTAAAATGTGAAATGGAGTAACTAATTCAGACTCGTGATTATAAATTGATAAGCATAGAGAATGTAACCATGTTTATAAGCAATATGGAGATTTTTAAGAAATTTTAAGAATCACCGCCCATATTTTTAAGTTTAATGGTCTGTCAAGTAACTTAATTGTTTAAGAAGAAAATAAAATGTATCAAATTTATAAATGCAGTTTAACTGTGGAAATTTAAGTTATTAAGTTCCCTTACAATTATTTTTTAAATTCACCAGGAAACTTGCTACTTCAGGTATAACCAGGCTTGGATTTATAACTCTAGTATTAATTATAAAGCTAAAGTAATTTCAAAACAGTCTTCTGTGTGCTCAAAAGCTGCCCTTGCGGAAGTAGCTCCAACTCACTTGGAGCTAACTAGGTGTTAAGAATTTAGGGCCGTCCACGCGGGCAGGCAACATGTGGCTCCGCAAAAGGAGCTGGGGAACAAGAAACTGTCCCAGGAACAAGTGGTATCGTCGTTCCTACTTTATTAACTGCCACCTTCATTAAAAGTAACAATAAATTTACGATTTTTTTTATACATGAAAAAAAAACACGAGTCACGTTTCCTGCAGGGTCTGCGCCGGTGCGCCCAAAACACGGTTCCTGTCTTGGGAAGGAGGAAAAGGGGCTCGGGCAGTGGGGATAGGGAAGTCGCCCTTGAGGCGGGAGGCGAGTACTGAGAGTCCTGGGGGGCGTGGAGGGAGGAGGTGTGGGTTCTCAGACCATCAGGGGAGCGGGGAGTGGGCCCCGCCACCGTTTCTGTCAGGGATGGTCGCCACGCTCCAAGCAGAGCCTCCCACACCGGATTTCACAGAGCTCTGCTGCCTGTAATTTATATGATCAAAACATGAAGGATCGGACTATTATCAAGAAAAGCGCCTTTCCAAACCGTTTTTCCGGCCTGCAGAGCCCGGACTCATCCCGCGCGTCTCCAGCAACCTTACCAGCCCGCGCTGCAGTAAAAGCCGGAAAAAGGCGACTTCTCCTCAGCGCCACTCTACCCACCCGCCCTTCAGGCGATACCATCCCAGCTGAACCCCTCCGGAGTACCCGAAATGGTGCCGTCCTCAGCCTCTGATTGGCTGACTGGCCGGGGCGTGGCCTCCGGGGCCAGGTTCCGCGCGCTAGAGCCCGCTCGCCGCATTGCGAGCCGGGCAACGAGCGAGCGCCATGGTGAGGAGTGGTTGCGGGTTGCGGGCGAGGCGAAGGCCGTGGCCTGGGTCCGTGCCTGGGCCTAGGCTTAGCCGAGGCCTGCTTTGGGGTCGGGGGCCGGGCGGACGCTGGGTCCGCGCTGATGCTCGCGCCCCGGCTCCCGTTCCAGGTACTGCTGCACGTGCTGTTCGAGCACGCGGTCGGCTACGCGCTGTTGGCGCTGAAGGAGGTGGAGGAGATCAGTCTGCTGTTGCCGCAGGTGAGTGGAATTCGGGAGATCGCAGAGCCCGAGGGGCTTCAGCGCGCCAAGGCGAGGCCCCGCGCAGACCCCAGCATGCACCGCGCGCTCCCACGTGGCCGGGTGCATGGGGTGGGGGTAGGGACCGGGCCTGGAAAGCTCTAGAGCAAGGATACTTGTCTTAATTCATGACTAGAATAGCTTTAGGAGCTTTTTGAAATAAGCCTTCTGTTATCACATACCGATTAAAGCAGAACCAGGCATCAGTGTTTTTTGAAAGTTTCTAGTTCTTCTGCGTGTCCAAGGCTGAGAACCTCAGCTTTACTGCGCCCCAGAGTCAGGATAGGAGCGAGGGAAGAAAATCGCTCGTCCTGTTTCCCCCACCCTAGGTGGAGGAGTGTGTGCTCAGTCTGGGCAAGTTCCACAACATCGTTCGTCTAGTGGCCTTTTGTCCCTTCGCCTCGTCCCAGGTTGCCTTGGAAAATGCCAACGCTGTGTCTGAAGGTGAGCTGGCCACCTCTAAGTTATAGGAGAGATAGGACTTGGGATTTCTGCTACTGTTAATTCTCCTAGGAGGTTCGTGATAATATAGACTAAATGCTGTAGTATTTAAAGCTACGTCTAGAATTGAGGTTTTATTTTCTCGTGGGCACGGGGATGGTAAATGATTCTTAAACGAAATCTTGGGTGGGGGGTTGTGATTTAAAGCCCGTTTGTTTCCACAGTTAGCCTAAACGCAGTCATTTGTTGGCTTCTTTGCTGTATCGTTAATTTGGTTGGATAAGCCAAGGGAAAAAAACTGTTCTGAAAGCAAAGAATAAATGTTTGGTCGCAGGAGGCAAATAAGATACTTGATGCTTTTATCACACTAGAGGTTACATTTTAAGCTTTAATTGTATATTTCAAATTGGTATTATTGGGCCTGAGCCCTGTTCTTCCCCTGGTTGAGCCAGGCTTTGCAGTGATGACTTGAGTCTGTCAATCCCCTGAGTATGATCACTGATGTCTCCATGTGTCTGAGCAATGCCTGAAGGGGAGGGTGTATGTCTAGGCATGCCATCCCAGCGTGCTCTGTGGAACCAGTGCAAGACCTGCTGTCACTTAATCACCTTAACAAGACAGGATCCTTTTTGTATTTTAAGCACTCTAAAGCATGTTAGTGAGAGCTGTATTTTTTACCTGGAGGCATTGTTCATGAGGATCTTCGCCTGTTCTTGGAGACACACCTGCCATCCAAAAAGAAGAAAGTACTCTTGGGAGTTGGGGATCCCAAGATTGGTGCTGCTATACAGGAGGAGTTAGGATACAACTGCCAGACTGGAGGTGTGATAGCTGAGATCCTACGAGGTGAGAATATCTATCATACTCATGCAGTTCTTGATATCTTGTGGGGGAGGTGTTCTGAAAACCTGTTAAGATGCTTCAGGTTACTTCTGGGAGGCCCTGCTTGCCTGATGGATGTGGGAGCTAGTTCGGGGCCTTTCCATGCTCATAGCCTGCCCTCCTCCAGGAATTCGCCTGCACTTCCATAATCTGGTGAAGGGTCTGACTGATCTGTCTGCTTGTAAAGCCCAACTGGGGCTGGGACACAGCTACTCTCGTGCCAAAGTTAAATTTAATGTGAACCGGGTGGACAATATGATCATCCAGTCCATTAGCCTTCTGGACCAACTGGACAAAGACATCAATACTTTCTCTATGCGGGTCAGGTAAAGTATGGGGGCAGCCCTAGAAAGTGGAGTCTTTGGCCTGTGGTTTGGCTGATTTTGAATCCTGAGATGAGTTCTGGGAAGGACCAGGTGGGGTAGGGGCTGGGCCTCCTTGTGCTTACCACAGGCTGTGTTCTTGCACTGACTGTATAGAAAGAGGAGGCAGAGTAAAGGACCCCATATACACCTCAGCCCAGGCCCTGTGCCTGGTTTGTATTGTGAATGGGGCAACATAGCATTGAGGAGGCTTTAAATATGATTGGTCCCATTTTCTCCAGGCACATAGTAGATATGGGGATACGTGGCGGCTGGTCCAGGGAGTGACCATGGCTCTTTGCAGGGAGTGGTATGGCTATCACTTTCCGGAGCTGGTGAAGATTGTCAATGACAATGCCACATACTGCCGCCTTGCCCAGTTCATTGGAAACCGCAAAGAGCTGAATGAAGACAAGTTAGAGAAGCTGGAGGAGCTGACGATGGACGGAGCCAAGGCCAAGGCCATTCTAGATGCCTCGCGGTCCTCCATGGGTCAGTGCAGAGCCTGGCAGCCAGGTGTAAGGTGTGGGGCTTTCTGTGTCTGGCTCCTGCATTCACATTTGGTGTTCTCTAGGCATGGACATATCTGCCATCGACTTGATAAACATTGAGAGCTTCTCCAGCCGTGTGGTGTCTCTGTCAGAATACCGCCAGAGCTTACACACTTACCTGCGCTCCAAGATGAGCCAAGTAGCTCCCAGCCTGTCGGCCCTGATCGGGGAAGCGGTACGTCATGGGGAGCTAAGGAATGTTGCCATGTAAATCTGCACTGCTGTGTATTTTCTGACCCATCATATATTCCTGCTTTTCCTTGGGGAGGAGGTAAGCAGGGATTATGCAATTGTTAGGTCAGCAATTTCGGCTTCTCTGACTTCTTTATGTCTGTCTCCAGGTAGGTGCACGTCTCATTGCACATGCTGGCAGCCTCACCAACCTGGCCAAGTATCCAGCATCCACAGTGCAGATCCTTGGGGCTGAAAAGGCCCTGTTCAGGTACCAGTGAGGGCACCTGCCCGTTTCAGGTGCCACTTCTGGTACCCACTACTTGTTTGGGTATCACAGTGATGGCTGACCAGGGCTCCTGACCTATACAGACCTCTGCTATGGGGGTGATGGCCAGTCCTGGTGTCTGAGTGATTCCCAGGGCCCAGCAAAAGGGACCAAGCTTCCAGGTCAGCGACATCGATGCCTTGTCCTCCCTGCCTCTGGGAGCTGTGGGTTGGCATGAGGTGGGGGTGGAGCCAATCCAGCCTGAGATTCACTTAGGAGATTTGGGAAGGCGGGAGGTAAGGAGCTGCCTTGGCTACTGCAGTTAAAGTTGGATATTAAATTCTCTGCCGATTATTCTTTCAGAGCCCTAAAAACAAGGGGGAACACTCCCAAATATGGACTCATTTTTCACTCCACCTTCATTGGCCGAGCAGCTGCCAAGAACAAAGGCCGCATCTCCAGATACTTGGCAAACAAATGCAGTATTGCCTCACGAATTGATTGTTTCTCCGGTATGGGTGGGGGACGGGGCTAGGAGGGAAGGCAAGGGGGGAGGCTGACTACCTTAGCAGCTTCTACAATGATGGCAATATTTTTCGTCAACAGCAGTTCACCCAGTGAGTGTTGATACTTTGGGTCTGAGTGAAGCTGAGGGTAGAGGGAATACCGGGTTAGATGAGTAGTTTGTCCCTTCAAGAGCTGACCGGCTTTGTTTATCCCCACATACATCCAGAGGTGCCCACGAGTGTATTTGGGGAAAAACTTCGAGAGCAAGTCGAGGAGCGGCTGTCCTTCTATGAGACTGGAGAGATTCCACGAAAGAATCTGGATGTCATGAAGGAGGCAATGGTTCAGGTCAGTTTGGGCTTTGCTGGGCGAAGAGAACCACAGCTGACTGTTGGAGGTGATGAACTGCTTAGCCTGACTTTGTAAAGTGGAGGCAAAATAACTGATTTAATGAGCCTGATCCAACAAGGCCGGGAAGGATACCTGCACAGACGGGTCTTCCGACCCTCTTCAGCACTCTTCTCTGGTCAGGCAGAGGAAGCGGCTGTTGAGATTGCTAGGAAGCTGGAGAAACAGGAGAAGAAACGTTTGAAGAAGGAAAAGAAGCGACTGGCTGCGATTGCACTCACGGCTTTGGAAAACAGCAGCAGTACTCCTGAGGAGTGTGAGGTCAGTGGGCAGGTCAGTCCCAGGTGAAGAGCCTAGCTTGTAGGACTTTCAGCAGCCAAATAAAAGATGTGATATATCAAGCCATGGTCTTGAGTCCACGCTTTTGGATTGAAATACGAACCTGAAACATCTAAAACCACCTCTTGATTGTATAGGAAAGAGATAGGTGCTGAGAGCACTCAAGAGCCCAGAGAGTTGGTCGTATTACACACCTATTCCCAGGAGTCCTCAGTCGGGGGCGGTGGGTAGCGTAAAGTCCTGGTTTGCTTGTTCTCAGACTGGTCTGGAATCGTAGCCTTTTAACAGTGGGGATGGGGGCAAGGTTTTCATTGTGCTAGCAGAATCCTTCCAGAGATTGCCAAAGAGTGCCCAATTTGTTAAAGTGTTTCAGGGGCCCCTTTTTGGAACTTGGCAGGATGGTAAAGGGTTTTGTTCTGACCCGTCTATTTTACTGAGTATGGTGGATTTTTAGTAGGGTATTCAATGGGTTTAGATAATTTTTCACTACATGGTCTTAGTGGTGGTGGTAGCCTTTGGGGTGAATTTCCAGAGTCATATCCATACAATTTTTAAAATTCCAGAAATACTAGGCAATTCTAGCAGTGCTTCCCCAAGTCTTTCTGCCCTGATTCCTTAATCACTGACATGGTGTGCGCGTTTTGTGTTCATACAGTGGATGACATTCTCATGCCCTTTTCCCCTTCAGGAGATGGGTGAAAGACCCAAAAAGAAGAAAAAGCAAAAGCCCCAGGAGGTGCCACAGGAAAATGGAATGGAAGACTCATCTAGCTCTGTTCTCCCTAAACCCAAGAAAAAGAAATCCTTTTCCAAGGAGGAGTTGGTTAGTAGTGATCTCGAAGAGACGGCTGTCAGCACAAGTTTCTCCAAGAGGAAGAAATCTTTCCCCAAAGAGGAACCAGCTAGTGATCCTGAAGAGGCAGGTAACAGCAGGAGTGTCCCGAAGAAAAAGAAGAAACTTTCTTCAAAGGAGGAGCCAGTCAGCAGTGGACCTGAAGAAGCTGCTAGCAGCAAAAGCAGTAGCTCCAAGAAAAAGAAAAAATTCAAAAAAACACCCCAAGATTAGAATGGACAGTGGACATTCCCTGGGGGGTATACCCAAGGTGACTTCCCAAATAAAAACAAAAATTCACAAAACTTGATACATTCGTGTTTTATTTAGCACCTTATATGGGTGCCGGTGGGACCTATGGGTGGGGCAGGGCAGCAATGACAGCCTCAGTGAAGTCCTGGCAGGTGGCATAACCACCCATGTCAGAAGTTCGAACCTGTGGGGGAGAATTGTCATCATATCTGTGGCCTGGACCCCACCCCTAACAAACCCACCACCCAACAGTTCCTTAACAAAGCCAGACCCGGGGCAACCTAGGCTCTGCCCAGAAAGGTGACTTATGGTCCGCTGTTTAGAGGCAAAGTTCTGGTCCAATGTACTGAAGGGATGTGTAGGTAGTATGGTCCTTGTGAGGTTGGAAGGAATAGAGGGCTCTAGCCCGCATAGGGGTGCAGGTGGCCAATGACGGACTTGATGAAGTCAGATGTGGTGCTGTAGCCGCCCATGTCTCGAGTCCGCACCTACAGCCACCACAAGTGGAGCCGTGGGGAAGAAAAGAGAACCCATGAAGGGGGGGTAGGGCAGTGTGATGAAGGAAAACCTTGGATTCAGGGATCCAGGAAGGTGACAGAAGGCCAGAAAGATGCTGCAGGAAAAGAAAGGTTTCTAAGCATGGACCTGCCCTGGGCCAGCGCACTCCCACTCTGCCCTCCTCCTGAGGGCCAGAGCAACTGCTGGAGCTGTGCTACTGCCTGGGAAGGATGAGGGGTGGGGCATGAAATAAGATGGGAAAATGCAAATCAGGGACAGGAGGAAGCTGCCATGGAGGAAATTCAGAGAAGGATCATGTGGAAGGAAAAGATGGCAGGGGAATGACGATGAAGATGGACTCCAGGTTTGGAGAAGTTAAAGCTGGTGCCTCATCCTGCCAGTTTCCCCTCTCTACCCTATGCCTCCCACACACCCTCCTCCCCAGATAAAAAGCTGCAAGCTCTGGGTTAAGACAAAGCCCATGAAAGGGGCAGTGAGTGGATGAAGCAGGAAAGAAGGGATGGCAGATGGGAACTAAAAGAAGCAAAGCACATCCAGAAAATGAAACAGCCAAGAGAAGGGAGGGGAAGAAGAGCCCTGAGAGGGAGGGGAAGACCAGAAAGCAGACATTCTGGGGACCTCGAGGGAAAAGAGACCTCGACTCACGTTCCCCAGAGCGCAGTGCCAAGGCCCTGAGCCCAGCAGCCTTTCCAAACTTACCCTGCCAACTTTGATCACCTTCTTCACCGCATCTGCGATTATGGTGGAGTGATACTCAAGACTGTGAATGTGGACAGGAAAAAACTGAGACCCGAACCACCCCCAACAGCATCCAACCTTCCCACAGCCTCCCATGAGCCTACTTGAGATGCCGCAGCATGTTGGAGGCTGAGAGCAGCATGGCTGTGGGGTTGGCTATATTCCTGCCCACTGCCTGAGCAAATGGGTGCCTGGCGCCCTGTGAGTGGAAGAGGCAGGCCAGAGTCACTGGGGCGTAAGCATTATAGAGAAGCTGAAGTCAGGGAAAAGCATTATGGGAGAGGCTGGGATAAGAGGGAGGTTAAGCCAGGGTCACCGAGAAGCACTGTGGGGTGGGGGGCAGTGGGTAAGCAGGCCAGGGTCACTATGCAGAGGAAAAAGCTGGCGAGGAGGCATGAGGCAGGGGGGAAGGGGAACCTGAGGTTAGAGAAAGGGCATGCAGAGAGGGTTCGGGGAAGAGGTAACTTCACTCACCGTCTCAAAGACTGCATACTCTGCACTGTAGCTCTCCCCGGGAACCACACCAGCTCCCCCAACCAGGCCAGCAGCCAGATTGTCAATAATGTTCCCATAGAGATTGGGCATCACAAGCACATCAAACTGGTAAGGATTCTGCACCAGCTAGGGGGCAAGATGTGGGCATGGAGGAAGAAAAACCAAACCCACTGCCATCAAGTCGATTCCAACTCATAGTGACCCTACAGGACACAGCAGAACTGTCCCATAGGGTTTCCAAGGCTGTAAATCTTTACAGAAGCAAACTGTCACATTTTTCTCCTGTAGAGTGGCTGGTGGGTTCGAGCTGCCAACTTTTTAGTTAGCAGCCAAGCTCTTAACAACTGCACCACCAGGGTTCCCTGCTGGCATGCAGAATGGAGGTGAATTCCACTCACTCCACACCCTCCCTCAGCATCAAGAGACTCACCTGCATGCAGCAGTTGTCTATGATCATTGTCTCAAACTTGATTTTGGGGTACAGTTCAGCAACTTCCCTACAGCACTGCAGGAACAAACCATCCCCAAGTTTCCTGTCCATGGGCCAAAAGGAACAGATTCAGTCAAAAGAATGGAGGGAGCTACTTTCCCAGGAGCCCACCCCGCAGCAAAGCCATGTCCCTCACATGATGTTGGCCTTGTGCACTGCCGTGACCTTGTTCCGTCCCTTCTTGGTGGCATAGTCAAAGGCAAACTTTGCAATCCGCTGAGACTTGGTTCGAGTGACAATCTTCAAGCACTCAATCACACCCTTGGCACTCTGGGTAAGAAGACAGAAGCAGCTGAGTGACTGGGAAAGAGAGGGGGAAAGGAGCTAGGTCTCTCTCCAACCTCCATCCCCACCCTCCTGATTTCTGGGGCCTCACCTCGTGTTCTAGAGAGCTGTATTCCCCTTCCGTCTGCTCTCGAATGATCACCAGGTCTAGATTGTTGTGTCGGGTCTTATAGCCAGGAAGTGACTTCACATGGACCACATTGGCAAACAAATCCAACTTACGCCTATGGGTGAGGCACAGCGTCAACACTGCAACTAGTGCCCCGGTGCCCCTTTGACCCACTGCCCCCAACACCTACCTCAGCCTCATGTCGTAGGAGGCTAGCTCCCCCTTATACTCCATTGGGGTGTGGATCTTTCCTGTGTAAAAGAGTCAGGAGTGGGGGGTGTCAGGCATAGGCCAACCCAAGACAACCCAGACCTGTATTCAATCCCCTCGGGGGCATAATGCAACCCAGACTCCCCATAAATCACTGACCCTTAATTGCCCCTGGGGGCAAGGGGCAAAGGAAATTATTGAAGTTAAACAATTTGTCTGCTGCTGTATGTCTATTTAGGTTGAACCTTCAAAATGGCCTTAAAGGAGGACATAAGATTTTTTCATATTTATCTAGCGAGCTTAGGTTAATAATAGGTTAGAAAACAATGCTAGGGAATCTGTAACCTTTCCTGGTGTTTCTGTGTGTATTTGACAATTTTTCAACCAGTACTTACTGAATATCAACCATATGCCAGGCACCAGGGACATCCATCAACCAAAAAAACACAATCCCTGCCTTCGAGGAGCAAAACAATGCACTAGGGAAGACAGACAACGTGAAGGACGTGATAAATACCATGGGAGACTGTCTTAGTTCTCTAGTGCTGCTATAACAAATACCACAAGTGGGTGGCTTTAACAAACAGAAATTTATATTCTCACAGTTTAGGAGGTTAGAAGTCCAAATTCAGAGTGCCAGCTCTAGGCGAAGGCTTTCTCTGTCGGCTCTGGGGGAAGGTCCTTGTCTCTTCAGCTTGTTTCCTAATTCTTTGGAGATCTACACGTGGCTTAGCATCAATCTTCCCCCATCTCTGCTTCTCTAGCTTGCTTGTTTAATCTCTTTTATATCTCAAAAGAGATTGACTCAAGATACACCCTACACTAATCCTGTCTCATTAATATAACAGACAACCCATCCCTAAATGGGATTAAACCACAGGCCAGGCATAGAGGTTAGGATTTGTAACATACTTTGGGGGGACACAGTTCAATCTATAACAGGTATTAAGAAGTGCATTGAAACACAGAGAAGAAATTGCCTCTGGTAATATCAGGAAGTGTCACAGAAAGCTGGCATTTCAGCTGGACCTTAGGGTGAGTGTAATGGTCGAATGGTGACCCCCAAAATGATATGTTCATGTCCAAAACCCCCAGAACCCATAAATGTGACCTTATATGGAAAAATGGTCTTTGCAGATATAATTAAAGATTTCAAAATTAAATTATCCTGGATTAGGGTGAACCCTAAATCCCATGACAAAAACCCAGTGCTGGTGAGTCCATTCCAACTTACAGCAAGCCTATAAGGCAGAGTATAACTGCCCCATAGGGTTTCCAAGGCTGTAAATCTTTACACAGAGCCACGAATGGATTCGAACCACTGACCTTTTGGTTACCAGCCAAGTGCTTTACCCACTGTGCCACCAGGGCTCCTAAATCCAATGACGAAAACAAAAACAAAAACCACACTCGTTGCCGTCGAGTCAGTTCCGACTCACAGCAACCCTAAAGGAGAGCAGAACTTCCCCATCGGGTTTCCAAGGGGTGGCTGGTGGATTCGAACTGCCGACCTTTTGGTTACACAGCCAAACTCTTACCCACTGCGTCATCAGGGCTCCAAATCCAATGACGAGTCCTTACAAAAGAAAGGGAAACAGACACAAAGGCAGAGAAGGCCACGTGAAGATGGAGGCAGAGACAAGAGTGATGCATCTACAAGCTAAGGAATGCCAAGAGCCACCAGAAACAGGCAAGAAAGGATCTTCCCTAGAGCCTTCTGAGAGAACGTGGCCCTGTCAACACCTTGATTTCTAATTTCTGGCCTCCAGAACTGTGAGAGAATAAATTTCTATTGTTTTAAACCACCAAGTTTGTGGTAATTTGTTACGGCAGCCCCAGGAAAGTAATACAGATTTTGGTACCAGAAAGTGGGGTGCTGCTGTAACAAATACCTAAATATGTGGAAATGGCTTTGAAATTGAGTAATGGGTAGAGACTGGAAGAATTTTGAGGCAAAGAATAGAAAAAGCCTAAATTCTGGTGACAACTCAGAAGGAAGTTAAGAGTTGATGCTGTAATGGGTTGAGCCTTTGGAGATAGTGGGATAGGGTGAATGTGTTTTGCACGTGGGAGAGACATGGATTTGGGGGAACCAAAGGGCTGACTGTAGCGCATTTAATGGTGACCCCCAAAAATGGTGTATCCATGTCCTAATCCTAAAACCTATAAATGTGAAATTATTTGGGGGGGGGAAAAAAA